TTTAACGGCCGATTGGAAATGAAATAAATGAAGGTTGGTCACTGTATGTGTGTAATGTTATGTAAGAAATACAGTGCATTAGAAATTTGAGAAGAGCTGATATAGAAAGAAGTAGATTAGCTGTAGTCACATGTTGGTTTGTCATCCTAATTTCATGTTTTCATTAAACGGAAAATGATAGAGTGAGTGTTTGTGTGTGTGTGTGTGTGTGTGTGTGTGTGTGGGTGTGTGTGTGTGTGTGCGTTCCCTGTGCTATTGTCTTGGGCACACCCACAGGCAGACAGTTAGCCCCTCAGTGCTGTGCATCCTGGGTAATTACCGGTGTGCTTGTGGTTGTGCTTAGCACTTATTCCCTGTACACTGTAATAAAGGAAAAGGCACTGCTCTGTTTTTAATGTCAGCACACCCACGCTCACTCACACACAGCTATATGACCAAACAACCTACAAGTCCCACAGCATTTAAATGTATCTTTCAAAGGCCAAAAGGTCCAGGCCAGGCTTGTTTCAGACATCATTATAATTATTTAACATGAACTACCTGTCGGTTCCCGTTCAGCACACTCCCACCGGTCCTCACACATGCTCATGCTTGTAGCTGCAAGCACTACTGTCTGAGGAGAAAACAGTGGGTGGGGTGCTCTTTTTTCTAACCGGATCCACGTTGCAGACGGGGTGCTGTTAGTCAGCACAATTCTCTTAATATGTCAAGGTTGAGCCCTCTATTGTCTGTAGAAAATGTCACTGTATTCACATGGATAGTGAGCAGATTAAGTGAAGGAAACAGTATAAAATGTTATGCCTTCAAGTTCTCATACTGGAAGGGTGGTTTCTGATCATTTTTGAAGTACCAAGGACTCTTTCCTTGGCTAATTCCAGTTCGTGGTGACTAAATTATGTTTTATGTGGTACCACCCCAGTGACAAAAGAGGTACTGCCCCAGTGACAGTTTCATACTGATATTTTTCTGAAAGTGTAGAAAGGCAGAAAAACAAATAGATTAGTTTAAACTGTCTATATATTAAAGTTTCAATTGTGCACCTTAAATAATTAAATAAAACAAAAAAGCGTCGCCTCACAGTAAGAAGGGCCTGGGTTCAATTCCCCAGCCGGGCAACCAGGGTCCCTTCTGCGTGGAGTTTGCGTGTTCTCCCCACACTGTGTGTCTGCCCTGTGATGCACTGTTGACCTGTCCAGGGTGTGTCCTGCCTCCCGCCAAGTGAGTGCTGGGATATGCTTCAGCTCCCCCTGTGACCCAGAAAGATAAGCAGCTTAGATGATGAATGAATGAAATATAACATCTGTGTGGTTTCCTGGACCATTTTCCAACCTCTCCTTATCCCTCACAATGAAACAGGCTGTTTTTGTTACTGTGTCTTTAAGACAGATATAAATGAGCTCTGTTCTGATTGGCTGCCCTGTATTGTGCCTCATTAAAAAAAAAAATTTAGTGCATAAGCACTCCTTATAACTTCAGCATGAATGGGTGGAGCTAAACTGCTGAAGGTCGAAGAGGTGTATATTTGTAAATGTGTTGGTTCTCACAACATTATAGAGAGTGTAAAAACAAAACAGGCTGTTTTTGCAGCTTAGTTTTCATACATTCCATTGACATGAATGGTACATTTTGAAAGTTAACAATATTACATTAAACTCCTGTATTTCTAAAAAGTGAGGGAAATTTGTTTTACCATGATATGGAAAAGTAAGCATTCAATTTCCAATAAATATATTCTAATTAAGACTTTTTTGCCCATTCAAAAGGCTATCACAAAATTCACCGCTGTTTAATGGGGGGAAAAGCTACACACCATAATGTAATTAATCATGATACATTTTTAATAGTTTGACAACCTATAGATAATTCATAGATAATTGATGCGGTATAAGCTTCCACAACTTGTTAGCTACATAAGCCTCGTAGTTGCATTTCAAAAATGAAGAAGCAAACTTTAGACACCACAACTGGCTGATTGGCTACATTTGGGGAAAGAGGGGGGAACTGCATAAATTAGATTTTTGGCTGAAGTAGTTCTTTAATAAAACAAGCAAAGCAGTTTAAGAACTGAGGACAGGGCTGACAGAACATAATCGCGACAGATGAATGAAAATGATGAACTAGTTCTGCTGGATTGGCTCTGTACTGCAGGATAGCTGCTGCAATCAGCCAGACGGCACAGTTCATCTGTTCTTGTGATTCTGAAATAACAAGATCATTCATTCTCTCTCTCTCTCTCCCTTTATTGCTCTCACTCTATCTATAAATATACATACATACACACACACACACACACACACACACACACACACACGCACACGCACACACACACACATATACACATATACATATATATATATATATATATATATATATTGCTCTATCCCACTCACTGCCTCTTCCCCCCTGTTTCTCTCTTTCTCTCTCTCTACATCTTCTAAATTATGTTTGTAGTCTCTCTCTCTCTGCTCTGTATGTAGAGCTGCAGGTCTCAGCTGGACGGTCTGTCTCTGGAGGGGCAGTGCTGTGTTAGCACAGGGAAGATGTATGATAAAGATGAAAATGGATATTCATCACTGGGGAACGAGAGCAGGGAGGCAGGTGTGAGAGAGAGAGAGAGCGAGAGAGTTGAGTTTACTACAAACATAATTTAGAGGGTGCGGTTGAAGCCTAAAAACACAGTTTACTCCATTATAATCCCACACCTTCTCAAAGCCCTCCAGGTCCCCCAGTGAACTATAAAACAAATCTGCGTTCCAGCGCTACTCATACTCTCAACAGCCCTTTAAACCATAACAACTCACTACAGTTCTGACTGCTTCCTATCGTACTCATCCGATTTTAGCTTACGCTGAAATACGGTGGATCAGTTAACTCTCTATGTTTTACAGTGTGGAAAAAAGAGATGTGCCAAAAGAACCAAGAAACAAAGAATGCGAGAGAGAGAGAGCATTCCTGAGAGAGAGAGCTGTGTCCCCATGACTAATCTCTCATAATAAGTTAACACTGTGCAGCAGTACATTTAGAAAAGTTGTGTTTATTTACACTGTAGATGATTATTATGCTATGGGAAGAATTCAGATCTGACGTGGAACCAAAAATCCACTCAGTAATTTCATAAGATTCGAATCTAGTTTCAAATAGACCCCTGAGACTTCTTGCTGAAACATTAGCCAGGTAGCAAACGTTGTTTGAAATTATGTTGATTTGATGTTGGGGAAAATCATTGAATCAGTGTAGATCCCTGATGTGAAATTTGCATTGATCTTGTATTGGCCCTTGAATCAACACTGGACAATCAGTCATGGTAAACATTGATCCAGCGTTGGTCGCTGGGCTGTACTAAACTACTCACTGTCAGTCCCAGCCTTTCAGCTACAGTCCTACATATATTTTCTCAGCATTTTTATAGTCAGCTTTTGACTTGTTATATAAGCTTTGGTGTTCTGCTACGAGCAAAATGTGCTGTTTTCCTTCCATTTGTTGGGACTGCAACCGTCACAAAAGAGCTCAGATTGGTCAGCCTGATTTTTATATGTATCCGTTATTACGCATGTGTGTGTTTTCAAAGCCTGATTGACTTTTTTTAGTCTGTAAAAGTCAGACTCAGTGTGAATAGGCCTTAAGACCTTGCACTGTCAAGCACAAATTTTCGAAATTCTGTCAACACTTACAGACAAAAACAGACAAAATAGGGCAGTGCAACTTAGCATGGCTGGGTCATTCTCCATTTGGAGTGGGAAGTCAGGCGGAAAACATATTTTACAGTCACGGGTATTATATGAATATGGTGTAACACCAGTGACTGTGACTGCAGTGACATTCTGGTTAAGACTGAGGATTTTGTAAATTGGCTGACCCATTGGTGGTCAGGTGACCTTGTGCAACTATTTAAAATCAGTAATAAAAATGATAATTTGGCATTATTTTGATGAAATTTTAATTACCCAGCCATTAAAGCACATAACTCCAGTGACACATAGAAGTTATGAGCTGCCTGATACACAAAATTATTAATATATCAATGAAATATAGTGAGCCAGTGTGACTCGCCTTCTCATGCCCTGAGATGCTTCCTCTTTGATGAGCCTCAACCCAAAGAAGCAGTTTAATAGAGCTGAAAATACTGTGTTAAAATGTAACATAAGAGTCCTGATAACACCGGTGACCAAAAATTTTTAAATAAAATACATATTTTTAAATGTAGTATAACGTTAATGATATAAAAAATAAACATGAATCTGTTTTATACATATTCCTAAGTTAAACCTCTTAAAAATATTGTTTTAAACCAGTTTTTATTAAAAATGGTTTCTCAAATGTTGAAAAATTAGTTATGTGACAAGCTGTTTTACAGATGCAGAGAAAATATGAAACAGAATAAAAAAAGAAAAATCAGAGAAATCAAAAGGGAAAAGTGTTATTTAATCTTAGGTCAGCTGTGTAAATGTACATGCAGACTGTTGGAGCTGTGCCTAACATTTAAAGCATCTTTTTAAGCTCTGCAAACTTTGTGACATGGTTTCCCCTCCAAATTGAGAATGAACCAGCTGCAGTTGGTGGTGCGTGTTTACAATTCTAATAATTGAATAAATCCTTAGACCTTTAGGAAAGACATTGAAGTCAGGAGTGACAGACAAAGAGCGGAATGAGGCCTGAATTCTTGCCACTCGTGGCCTACGGTGACGGAGAGATAAGAGTGCACATGTTTGTGGAGCATTTTTTCCCTCAGGCCCTGCTGCCGACATGCATACTCTCAGATCAATGGAGCCCATAGCCTTCTTCATTAAGCGCATCTTAGCGAGCTGTGAAAAGCAGGAATGTGTTTTTTATGATGTTTGTTGTGCTAGTGAGCTGAAGAATCTCCGGCTGGCTCATGAGTGCGCCTGTATTTTTAGATGATTTTTCACTGTGTTGACATTTGAATGGAATGCATTGGTTTAAACCTCATCTAATTCAGCTGTATAATCGTATTCAGCCTGATTCTTTTTTGTGTGTTACAGAGATGCTTCTGGACGACTTCTTGCTGACCTACCTGGTGTTCATGTCCACTAATGACCTCTGTCAGGCACTGCTTGGGCAATATCCTTCCTTAGAGGGCATGCAGAAACTGAAAGAATTGTCACCAACAAGCGAATAGCTGTAGCAGCTGTCTTGATGTCTAGTTAGTATAAACAGCCATAATTCTCTACATAGCTTTGTTTAGGCAAGAACTGATTTATGGCTTATTTAGGCATGTTATGCAATACATAATTTCGGTAACATGCATGCTTTCTTGGCCTCATATATCTGCGTACTGTTGCTCTTGTAGCCATAAAGGGATAAGAAAAATGTTTTTAAAGGGGGAGGAGTCTGACAATGTTTCAAAATTTCTGCATTATTCAATGGGTGAGATATAAACAAAGTCAGAGTGGATTGATCTGAAATGTTCACAGTGGTGGTGATGGGAACCAGATGTCCAAAACGTTTAAAGGGAACTCGTAAAATAGTGCCCATGTCCTATTCTATTAAAATATGACGTGTAAACCAAAAGAAAATGTTGTATTTGTTATAGAAATCATGATAAGATCCCTCTACCAGTAGGTTGCAGAGTGATATCATATGATGTCCTATAATTGCACTAGAATTGATCCAAAAAGTTGTTCTCTTGGGTGATGTTATGCTGTTCCTAAAGTTGGAAAGGCTGAATGATATATTTGAGTTAAATTTGATAGAGTCTATTTTTAGAGTAGAGTAGAGTCTATTTTTAATAATATATAAAGTATTTTGTCTGTTTTGCACAACATATGTTGATATTTTTGCACATGTACATCATATTAAGGCTTACAAAAAGCCTCACAAAAATTATTACAATAAATGGTTGCCTAATTCCAATAAACTGTTGTATAATAGTATTCAGATGGTTTTGGGCTAAAATGTATTTTTAAAATCCATTCATAATGGAGAGGTACATGCAGTGTGTTGTGAAGCAAAATAGCCCCCAAAGAAAACCTCATATTTTACCATCAACAACAACAAACACATGTAAGTTCACTGGTCATTTTGGATAGTAAATAAAGTGGCTATATATTTGTTGTAGACATCACAACCCGTAGTTCTCATCACCACCACTGTAAAGAAAATATGGGCTGTTAAGTTTCTCTAATATTAACCATTTCACACATAAAAAACCTCTGCATGACTTTTACATTCGATGACTGAATGATGTAGATATTTTGAAAAATCAGTTAAGTTCCTCTTTAAGTTAACCTCTGTTGTGCCATAAAATCTTGAAAGATTTGCTTTTCTAACTTTTACCGGTGTATTTGTTGTAAAATGTTCAACATAAAAGGCATAAAAGTGCAAAACAAAATGAAACCAAAATGTATGTGACTGCACCTATATTTTCTTGTGATTGCTCTGCGGTGATTGGTCCTTAACCTGAGCTCACCTATTGCACCAAGCGCTGTCGTGGCAAGGAGGAAGGAAAGGAGGCCCTCTACAGGAAGCGAAAGGTACTGCACCTGGTGTCCCAGTGGAGCTCTCTCTACAAAGACTTCCTGCGCGAAGAAGAAAATGTCAAACTCTTCATGAAGGTAATAATGAGCCTCAGCATTAATGCTGAGACAGTTCATAGAGAAGTAGCTGCGCATTAAGCTTAGTCTTAGCTTAAAACAGTTTCAGTATCCCTTGACAGAATGATTTAGCCAATAGTTCAATTAATAGTTCATTCAATACTGGAATCTCAGAAAAAAAGGTACTAAACTGTCTCTGGGGCAGTGCCCCTCTTTTCACTGGGGTGGTACCCTTAAGGGTACATCTCAGTACCTTTAGTCAGGGAACATAATTGTACCATAATCCAATGAAATTATATTTCCTAAGCTGTACTGACTCCACACACCCCGTCTCGTCTCCAGGCTTTTATTTTACTGTTCTGTTTAAAAACATTTGGTTATGAAAAGGTACAAATACGAACTTCACCTGGAAAAACTTATTTAAGGTTCACAACTGGACCTTAAAGCCACTGTTGTACCTTTGAGGGAACATTTACACTGTTTGTACCCTGATGACCAAAAATGTACCTGCACAGAACCTTTATTTCTAACAGTGTAGGCTAAAACTTAAAGGATTCTTGAAAAGAATCCTTAGTGTCGTATGTAGATTACTACTTTCTATATACACTCCCTGCCCTCTTTATTACAAACTCCTCCTCCTTGCTGGAGTACAGTTACACACTGTAACCAATCTGTTGATGCTGAGTTTGTGTTAGCCATCCTCTTGTGGCTGGAGCTGTATTATTAGCTAGCAAACAGTTGGTACTTTAGTCTATTTAGCTGATAGGTTATTGTGCTTAAAGCAAAGCAAAATGCCACTAGACCAGCTACAATAAAGAGATTTTTTTATACTGTAACTTTTTTTGATGGTATCAGATAAGAATTTTTAAGCTCGTAAACATTAACGATGTATTCTCATAAAACTAAAATGAGATGTTAGATAAAATGAATTGATTTTAGGCTGTAAAGCCCCAGGGAACCATAGTCCATGTTTTCTTTCTAAGTAGGTCAATATTGCTATTGTGGGCACATAATATGCAACTACGAAGTATATCTTATGAATTACTATACAATGTCCAATAAATGGCTGATGTATTTTGCCAAAATCCTCCCCTTTCTGTGTAAACTGGGTGGTCCTAATTGTTAGTAAAGCTTGTGTAAGCATTACCCTCACCAACCACAAAAGCTGATATGGCTTATACTTAAACAAAACTGTGTTTCCCTGCAGTCTCTCTCTGTTTAAATCAGAGAAACCTATTGGGTGAAAGCTAACAACCAAGCGAAAGCTCACCTAATGCACATAACTGAGCTCGCTTGTTTATCTGTCTTCCTGTTGTCTGTTCATTCATTCAGTTCAGGTCAGTTCGTCCAACTAGCCATGCCAGCGTTACCAGCGCATTCAGCAGTAAAGTAGATATGAAACTTACCTTCTTCTCCACATAGAGGAGCGGGGGAATGTTTTTACTGAGTATAAGTATTGTTCGTATGTATTTCCTCCATATCATATTTAACAGTATTAAAGATAATATCGATTTTTGATTAAAAGCTTTTACATGCCAAGGTTGAGGTTGTGCCCATTGTCAAAAATATTGTATGGACCACTGACTACACCCCGGCATACTCTTCCTCCTCATCTTCCCTCTGCCCCCTTCTTCCCATGTGTGCGTGGTAACACAACATTGTTGACTCACATGGTCACGCCAGAAGATTAGTTTAGATCTCCGGGGAATGCCTCTGCCACATGCTGGGACTTGATGCTTTTAATCGTTTTTCTCCCGTCTTCCCTCCAGATGCCTCGTTTTCTCTCTCTATCCGTCTCTCTTTCTCCCCCCCTAGTGCTCCAGCACGCATCCTGCCAGAGGCTACAAACAAATACGGCCATTAGGAGACTATTTAGCGTGTCTTACAGGGCTAAAGACATTAGATCTGTGTAAGATGTGAAGGGTGCATGTTGTTCTCTCTCGCTGATAATGAAACAGCACGGGTGATTATAACAGTGCAGCTGACTGTATTAATGGCAGAAACAAGAGCAATGTGTGTGAGCAGATGGATCAGTGTTATTTTTAGTATGATGAGCTGAGATCTCTATCAATCACATCCCAGTGGTTCTCATACTAGAGTTTACTAGTTTCTGGCTTGGTGTGAAGCTCTGAGAAACTTTTTGCCATTTTACCTTGCATTGATTAATCATGATGTTGAAGCTGGGCTCCTGAGTGGCGCAACCGTCTAAGCGTTGGCCCTATCATCAGGAGATCGCGAGTTCGATCCCTGGTGATGCTACAGCCATCCATGGCCGGGAGTCCAAGAGAGAACAATTGGCCTCGCTCTCTCTGGGTGGGTAGGATGGCCCCCCCTTCTCCCCCCAACACTCAACACGATGCTAGTCAGCGCAGGCATCTGTTAGCTGACGTAACAGACCCGGCGGTTGGTGCTTTCCTCCGAGCGCGTTCAGCTGTCCAATGAAGTTGCGTTAGCGGCAGTTCGAAAAGATGCGGTGGCGCTTCACAGGTCTCGGAGGAAGCCTGTGCTAGCCTTCACCCTCTTAGCGTTGATAGTATTGTGTGATTAGGGGAGTCCTAGCTAGCGGGTGGAATTTGAGACCACTAAATTTGGGACAAAATTGGGTAAAAATAAAAAAAAATAAAAAAAAAATAATAATGTTTAAGTTGTTCATAACCAATTATAATAGCATTCAATGAAGTGTGCACTGTGCATACCTTCTGGGCAAAGTACAATTTTCTGTCTATTTTTCTATATAAAAAGCTTAATGTATAGTTTATTGTCTAAAAGCCACTACTGTCTAAACAGTTGCTCCAGTTGCATTTGTTTATTCAGTGTTTGTTTTAATGCAATACTGAATCATTTCAAAATAAAATAATTAAAGCTCCCCAAGCAGTGGCAGATCTAGAAAATGTAACCCAGGGTGGCAAAGAGGTGGCACTGAGTTTTGGCAGAATGGAAGTATGATACTGTAAATGGAGGGGTGGTGGTTGGTTGGGGTGGGTGCGAGTCCAGTCAGAGTGAGACGAGAATCAGTGAGTTACCTGAGTTTTCAGCTGGTGTGCTTGTTTTGGTGTGACTCAGGAAAACGTACTTCACATGTACTTATTAAAGAGGGGTGAGAGGAAGACATCGTGTTCTGAGACACATAAGCTGGACGTCCGTCCCACCGCTGTCTTTTAAAGGTCAAAGCGTAAACTTCGTCTCCTCTGCAGACCAGTTTCTGCTCCGCCATGTTGAACGGTATAAACTTTCACTATGATGTGACGCACATGATCAGATCGGACTTAAACTTTACGTTTGTAATGTAATCAGATTCAGGTGTTTACATGGTTATTATTCTTCTATTCACCGGATTATTTACAGGATTATCCACCTCGTTCAATTGGATAGCAATTGTAGTCCAAATGGCCTCAATCGAGTCCGATTGAGCTGTATACATGGAAGTATTCTATTCCGATTGAGCTATTAGTCGAATTATTAATGGATTATTAGCCTGCACATAACTGTAGCTACAGCTGTGCCCTGAACTGACATCATAAGACTGGCAACCTCACCAAAATACCCAACCCAAACCAGCAAGCTTTGTTAAATGTGGTAGTTAAGTTGCTGTGTGTTGTTTTACCACATTAGAGTTTAGTAGTAGACTTACTTTCATGCTATGTCATATTAACGCACAGGAATGTTAGCTTTCCTGTAGCATGTATGTAGAAGCATTCACCTTTCCACTGCTCAACAGTCTCATAATTCAGACAATCCAGTGACTTTCAGGGCTTAAAATGTAAACAGGACAAAAATGCATCAGACATTTTTGGAAACCATGTTCATTTTTCTCATGAAGAAAGCCAGCTTAGACCTGGAGCTCCTATATATGCGCATGACACCGACTACTGGATGACGCATGGCTTCAAAGGTCTATTACTTTATATTCAGTTTTGTTCTTCCTCTCTGTCTTGACTTTTTCTCTTGTGCACACACACACACACACACACACACACGCACACACACACGCGTACCCCTACCTCCTCTTGTCATAACCTGCCTTTCCCGCCCACTCTGTGTTGCCATGGCAACCAGAGTGCCATTGCTGTGACAGGCTGTTCACCGGTCGCCAGTATAGATTATTACGTGGAGTGTATCCCAGGTGATGGTTGCCTGGAAACTGGCGAGAAAGGAGTTGGTTTAGAGGGGTCAGTGCAGTGCTGGGAGGACACAAGCCGTTACAGCTGTCATTATACACCTACCAGCCCGGGGCTATGTGCTAGACGGGGTGGGAGAGGTGTGGTAGGGGGAGTGTGTCTGCGTGTTTGTGTGTGTGTGTGTGTGTGTGTGTGTGTGTGTATGTGTGTGTGTGTGTGTGCTTTGGGTTTAGAGAAATCTATTTCAGAGTTTATGACGACAGTCATCTGTGTATTTCCCTTGACACATTGCCGGTTCTTGGCCAAAGCCCTTTATTCATGTACGCCCACAGACCCCCTTACACCACACATTCCCTAATGTGCATGTAAATAAAGTGCCTTTATTTAGTGATTTTCAGTCAAAATGGACATTAAGTCAGAGTTATTTATTTCTCAGGAGATATTTCAGAAGAGATTAGATAGAAGATAATCCATTTGCATATGTAAGGGGAAAGTCGAAGAAAAATAAATGAAACAGCTAACAACCGTGGTAGACCTGGTGGACCACCAAAACGGCCCCCATCTGGTTAACTTAAAGCTTTCATCTTTGAGAGAGAGGAGAAAATCAAGCTCCAATCTTAATGAACTATTCGACAGCTTCTTCTTTGTTTTGTACTTTTCACTCACCGTTCAAAGAGCAGCCGAGAAGAGTGAAGTGGTCTGTTTTCTGCGGGGGACGGCTCAACCGTGTAGGGCAGAACATTGATTGGTAGTGTTGCTCCGCACTGCCACTGGAGCCGGGTTGTTTATGTCGCCTGGGAGACGCCACTGTCAATCATTTGGCATTCTGACGCACCCACACAGTTATGAGCTGGCAGCAGCTCAGAGCATTTATACACTCTTCATAATATATATATATATATATACTTTGGGCCCTGGCTATTTAAGGGGATAAGAAAGTTTTCTCCTTCTCCTGTAAACATTTTTGGAAATATGAGGTTTTGTCTTGACACCAACGATATATATCCATTGTATACAGTGTTTAGACCCTTGCAGGGGGCATAAACAGCCTATAAGCAGATGCCTGCTTTGGCCGAATACAGACCTGTCCAGATGCTTTTCTCTTCATATAAATCCAGTCTTTTAGTATCGTAAGATAAACTGCAAAACTGTTCTAATATCAGTGTTAAAGATGCACTTCCGCTCACGTTGTGTGAATCTGCCTCTACAGACGCTGTACCGTTATGTACTGGAGGACGTCTACGAGTTCCCTACACTGGAGAAGGACCTAAAAGAGTTCCAGAAGCTTCTGCGTCGTAGACAGTGAGTCACACACCATGCCACATCACCTATGGAATTACTACAACCTCAAATTTGTTCTAAAACAATTAGTGCCCTGTATGTTACATGTTTTGGCGAGAATGTACTCACTGATCCAGTTAATGAAGCTAACTCTTCACTAAGTATTTAACGCTTTGTAATCAAGGACACTGGTTCTAATGTATGCTGCTAAAGCAGGGCAAGCTCATAGTGACTGTACATACGTACAGAGTAGCAGTCTGGGTGTGGAGGACAACATGGTTTTGTTGGTGTTGAAGGGGCATTCCAGCCTAAAACTAGAGTTTGATATGCTATTTGTAGTGTTATGCAGTATGCTGTAGTGCAGCACTGTGTCCCTCAGACCCTCAGAAGGTTTGGCAGAATTCACAGTTTTATATGTTGTTGTCATTCATCAATGTTCTCTCACTATAATATCCAGCCTGCATTATGCAAATGCATACATCAATACATCATAATGATGATCTAAAGACAGTTATTACTGATAGTTAAGAAAAAAAAAATTCTAGCCCACCCCAATGTCCACCCCAAAGCAGTTATAGGTTTTTAATAAGTTCCTCCCCACTTTAAGACACACTATCAGAAGTGAGTTATCTTAGTCTTTAAACCAGAAACAGATGTAGTGGCAGTTATATTTAATATTTAATATAGAAATAATCTAATATTTATCATTTTGGCCAGAGTGCCCATTTAATCATGTAGTGTACTCTCAAATAGACCTGCTTATTTTGTTTCTGACACTGTACGACATACTGTTTTCTATAAAACTGAACAAAAGTATGGACAGAAACTTAGCATCTTGGTGGCGTCTTCTATTACTTAGTTTTTACTTCTTTGTAGGTCCATGTAGCCTCATAGATCCAGTGCAAAACTGTAACAACACACCAAACATGTCGAGCCTGTTTGACTGCATGTGGAGTGGTGTAAGGAGTGAAATTATAAAAAATGTATTTTAAATAATACATAATGGGCCAAAAAAGAAGGCCAGGATTGGGATGGAGGAGAGTTATGAGAATGAGGATGGTGCCACTCTTTGTACCACCAGCTGATCTTCTTTTTATCTGGTTAAAGCTTCTTTCCGCCCCCTCCTCGGTGTAGTAGTCCTTTTCTTGGTCGGACATGGAGTCATCACATAAACACCGAAGCCTTCTAAGAGAGAGAACACACACTGAGCTTCCTTCGCTTGGCACCCGTTACGTGAAATGCATCGCATTACATCCCCGCTCTGCTCATATCCCCTGTTTCTCACAGCAGTCGGCTTAGCAGAACTAGGATTATGCATGCGGCCATAGGCCAGGTTGCTCCACACAGTGGATATTTCCCAGCCTCGGAGGCTCCGGGTGGGAGCCAGGCACACTGGCCCTGGTACAGGCTCTCTAATGCGGCTGAGCGGGGCAGAGCGGATGGGATGGAGGGGCTCAGAGGAATGATTAAGACAGCAGTGAGGGGGCTGTGGTGGGCCTACAGCATCAACTCTCACCCAAAGTGCTCTAATTGGTTAAGCAGGTGGCATATGGCTAGGCAGCATGGGACAGATGGGTATTTCCAGATGTGTGATGGGTGTGGGAGGGGAAATAATCCACAAAGGTCTGCCCACCGTGGCAGCTCCCTTTCATTATAGTTTTACTTAGACAGCATAAAAGGAACAGTTCAGCAAAAAGTCAGATTTGCACTTTTAACATCTTCCCCCAAATGTAGTCAATCAGCCAAGGAATGTTTGGTGTCTGAAGTTTGCTTCTGTAGTTTTGCACTGGAGCCAATGTACATACTTAAAAACGATGGCTCTTCCAAGGTTAAAGAAAATAGTTCTGTTTAGAACCATGAACACTCAAAGAACCCTTTGCATGATTAAAGGGTTCTTTGCATCGTGAAAGCGTTCTTCATATTGATGGAGAATGTGTTGTATATGGTTCTATATAGCACCAAAAAGTGTTCTGCTATTGTTACAGGCTTCACATTGCAACAATATAAGAACCCTTGTCAAAAAGGTGCAATATAGAACAATCTTCAGCATATTGTCCAGCAGATTCTTTCTTTGAGTGTTCATGGTTCTACATAGAACTATTTTCAGTACCACTTTACTATAGGGTACTCTTCATAAGACTACATGTCCTACATAAGCTTGTCATGACAACTGACATACATAAATGTTTATAAATGCTTATTCCAATAAGCATAATTCGCTATAAAGGCTACATTTGCCAGTTTTGATCAAATTTAGCTACATTAGCCTTTATGACAGATGACACCTAGTGGAATAAGCTTTTATAAACATTTATGTAGGGTTAGGTCAATTGTCATGACAAGTTTATGTAGGTGTCATGTAGCCTTATGAACAGTACCCTGAAGTAAAGTGTTGCCCTACTTTCTTTCCTAAAGAACGCTTAAAGAACCATCTTTTTTCAGTGTGTAGCTAACATTTAATGAATACCTGTAAAGTAGGCACAAGAACAGGCTTCAAGATTGAAGCTGCTACTGTTGTTAGCTATGCAGTGTACTTTTGTCCATTTTTATAAATCAGTACATCATACAGTGTCAGAAACCACATTAGCAGGTCTATTGATGTCTAAGATTATTTACTTGACATGGCTTGTGCAGTGGTCCATGTTAGCTAAGGCTAAGGCCTTGTAGGCAAACTTCGGACACTGAACATTTCTTGGCTAATGAACTGCATTTGCAGTGAGAGGTACAACTGTGTAAATTTGACTTTTTGCTGAACTATTGCTTTAAAAGAGGGATTCCACCAATTTTTCAAAGTTTCTGCATGATTAAATCAGGTCATTTAGAGTGGTTTGATGTGAAAAGCTTTCTGCCTAGAGAAACCTACAGAGTCAGAATTGTTCCCAGTGGTGGTGATAGGAACCAGACATCTGAAGAGTCTACTCTAAAAGCTACATCACAGAAGGCTGTTATATAAAATGGTTATGAATACAGTACCTGATACCTGACGCATATTTTTTAGTCCTGAGAAAAAAAACGTTTTTTTTATATTTAACACTTTTCTGCCATTATTAACATTAACTTATAAAACCTTAAAAGAAGTGAAGAAAGGTTAACTAGTTATTTTGGACAATAAATATAATGGCTATATTTGTGTTGTAGATATGGTCACTCTTGGTTCCTATCACCGCCATTGTAAAGAAATCTGAGTTGGTCAGTTTCTCTTTAATTTCACATCAAACCACTCTGAATGAATTTGTTCATTTGTTCTCCAACTGAATTATACAGATATTTCGATCTCTGTGGAATTCCCCTTTAACCATGAGTTTGCGTTCATTTCAGGTCTGGTAGGTTGTAACACAGGATCTCTGTTTAATAAGGAGATTTTCTTCCTTTGATAGAGACGGAACGTGATAGAGCGAATGGCAGTAGTTCAAGCTGTTTATTGGATGCTGGGACACAAAACAAAGGTTTCCATTTGGCCAGAAAGAGATGAAGGTGTCTTTTATTTGTTCCCTGGACACAAAACCCACGGTTGTCGTGGAGCCCAAAGCTGTCAGCGAGTGTTACAGTGACATCGCAGTAAAGCAGTTGCCTTCATCACAAACGCCGCTGTTGTGTGAAGCGTGTCCACAAAGCAAGCGGAGAGAGAGTCATCCATCTCGTTCAGTTCCTGTGGCTGCCTCTTACACAGAGGGTTCAGCGGAGAGAGGAAAACCGAGTCAGGGAGAGAAACAGAGAAAACGACAGAAGAGAGACTGACAGAAAAAAGTGAGAAGGAGCAGGAAAACATCAGAGAGAGCGAGACGCAGATGTCTGACAGGGGACTGCGGTCTCTGAAAGCATGATACATTCTGAACTCGACAAATTCCTAGTATGTGTTAAAGGAATACTCCGGCGTTTCTCAACCTGATCTCTGTCTGCTGCGTCTGATGTGAACGGTCAGTTACTGTGGAAAACAATTTTAACTAATTTCCTTGTGCTTAGCAAAGAGGTGAAGACTGGCTGACTTAGAGAAGCTAATGGGCAGTTACTGAATTCCTTCAGTAAACATTTACTTTGTATTTTTGTAGAAAACTTGCATGAATTTTTCACACACACACACACACACACACACACACATTTTCTAAGCCGCTTATCCTTCTGCGTTGCGGGGGGGGGGCTGGGGCCCATTCCAGCGATCATTGGGCGGAAGGCAGGAAACACCCTGGACAGGTCACCACTCCATCGCAGGGCATGAATTTTTGAGTTAAATGTAATTATTTAAGCTGTAAATTTGGGTAATTTGTTCTTTCAGGAATGAAATTAATTTTCCAAGGGAGGAATTTGTGGCAATTCACTGCTAGTGTAGTGATGTGGGCGGATTTTACATGACCAAAATAATGTTTTCTACTATGTTGTTTTGTGCCTTGGCTGTAGTTTGTATTCATAGTCACATATTTTGAATATGTATATGTATTATTATTTCTTTTCATTATTATTTATTAAATTAATATTTATTCACTGATGTTAGCAACAGCCCCTTGGCTACTATTGTAAATGTATAATAGATAATAGATAAGATAAGATAAGATAAGATAAGATAAGATAAGATAAGATAAGATAAGATAAGATGCTTTATTGTCACACTATAATTTAAAATGATAAAAAAATAAAATAAAAAAAGGGTGTATATAAAAGAACGTAGCAGCTAAGGTATCACACATGACGGTAATGCACATATAAGGATGGTAGCGTTCATATTTACAAACAGTGCAGTTTAATAAATAAAAGTCCCAATGAATGTAAACATCTTTTAATATTCCTTGAATATCGGTGATACCCAGATCTATATATAACAGATAGATAATATATATTATATAAAAGTATTGAAATTATAGTCTTTGCTAATCGACTGTGTGCTACAGATGGAATAGATTGAGATTAGGTTTGAACAACATTGGAGTATTCCTTTAATATATATAGTAAACAAACTGGATTCTGCCCATTAACAGTGTGAGACTGGCTGCAGGGTGGCAACTCTCAGCTTGTCTGAGATGTTGCAGTGCAGTGACTGAGTCAGTCTCCACACCAGCAGCTGTGAAAAGGCCAAAGCTTAGCCTGTCTCCTTTCGTCTATCTACTTATCAGCCGCTCTCTCGCTGCCTGTGTAGGTGTAGGAGGCATTCATGTTCCTTTTTTATGCACTGATCTCTCAATAATCATGCTTCTCTCTCTCTCTCTCTCTCTCTCTCTCTCTCTCTCTCAGCACCGTGGATGATTACTCTCCCCACCAAAAGGTAAGATGGAGAAAAAACCTGACAAAGATGAAAAGCTGGCAGCAAAAGATCTGAATATCATTGCTGCTATGAGAAAAACTCATTTTATCATTCAAGTTTTTGCTCATTTATTTACTTGCATACAGTTTGAAAACCAACTCCTTTTTACATTGTCTGAATATTTCATGATGTGTGGACCAATAGAAATGGCATATATTACTTGGAAAGTTGCCAGTTTGGATTTAAAAAGTCATCTTATAGCAGCAATGATATGACATAAATATTAATTGTCTGTGATGCTCTCCATTAGTGATGGGACAGTTACTGTCATTAGTGATTACTGGTTGTAACAGACTTTTGAAGAAGTCACAGTGTAAGTCAGTGCCCTGCAATCTCCCTGCAAAAGACTTAAAATAGTTGTAATCTAAACAGTGAACTGTAGCACTGCTGGTAATAATTTCACTTATTATGTTGTGGTTATTCTGGGTTATTCAGAAATATCAGTGGTTCAAGAAAAATTCTACATAATGTCTGTGGTTAAATAATTTAATATGTTTTAGTCTTTTTTAACATTTTCATGTTGTCATTTCACTTCAGTCCTCCTTATGAAGAGTACTGATGCTGCAGTGATTCTAGGATTTTTTTCTTTTAGGTGGGGCCATAACGGGGCCACAGTTTCTGTTCGGGAGCCAAATAAATGTTGTTGAATTCATTTGTGTTGAATTCATTTGTGTAGTACCTGGTAAAAGGACTGTTCTGACTCCACAAGTCATGTAGTGCTTGGACCCCAATATTTGCCACAGGCTGTGTAATTTGTGGAAGGCTGCCACCACTGCTGAGCACCACTTACTGATTTATTGATAGTCATCGATAACATCTGTGAAATCTTGCCTTATTGCATGTATGAGCTCCCTGTGCGCCGATCTGTGATCTGAAACTGCAGTGCTGGTTTACTTCAGTTACAGCAGCATTAAGCTCCCTGTGAGTCATGCAGTGTACACTTAGGAAAACATCAAAAACAGCATTTTCCATTCGTAATTTTAGTATTGTTTAGTCGTTCTGAGGGCTTTACACACCAAGTTGACTTCTTACCAAAGAAAACATCAGATGTGATTTTTAACGCACTGAAAACTTCACATCAAGTCCAACCTCCTTTTGATATTAAACAAACACTCTGAACGTGGGAGGACTGGATCAACAGTGACTCTCACAGGAGCGCTACAGAGCTGATGGAGGCTCTACAGCAGTGCTGTGAGTGTGTGGTGGAGTTTGAGGCTCTGATTTAGCTCGGAGCTCTAAGCACTAAAAGCAACAAACACAACAAACTACAGAAGCCACCGTGAGCTCCGAAGCGAAAGACAGGATTAGTGTTAATGTGTACTCAGAGTGTGAAGCGTCCGTAAGGCTTTGTCGCCCCCTCTGGTAGAAATGGAAACTAGATATATGGAATAAGTGATTGTAAAACTTCTGTGATTAGAAAAAAAATAAAATTATAGATATTATTAAGAAATTTGTCCCTTTTTTCTCTAATTTGCTTAGTGTCCCAGACTGAAATGCCAAACAAAGGCTTGTGTTGATGAGATCCTGTATGCTTTGAGTGAGAATGGTGGGCAGTATGTTTCCGGTGATTTGTCTGGGAGAGGGTGAGTGGGCGTTTATTCTCACTGTGCTGTCCTCTGTGTCCTTGCAGAACAAGGCTCTTTTCCAGCAGCTGAGTCTGAAGGAGAACGGCATCCAGCTCCGTGGAGCACACAGTGACAGCAGAGAAGGTGAGCTATTCATTCGCTGTTAAGCGGAAGCTTGAACTGGTGTACAGAACAGGAAGAGATCCACCCTAAACACAAAAACAAACACATGTTCATGAACATTGTGCAGTCATTTGCGCAAGTTTGAATACTCCCGGTCATCTAAGTGAAAATAAGTTAACACATCCTCTACAGAGGACACCCTTGAATGTCATTTGTCTCCAAATTTAAGTGCACAATTTCTATTTTTTTTTGCTGAGTTTAACATAAAACATGAATTATAAAATGTGCCATAACTTTTGCACAGGCCACATTTTTGTTTTAGTTTTCCAATATGTTAAATTCAGTAAATAGACAGTAGTTGTGCATAAAAATGAGCAAAAGTGTGTTTTCAGTAGAGGATGTGTTAACTTTTCACATAAAAAGGCAACAAAACATGCTATTTGACTGGGGCTGGGACTGGAAGGAACTGCCGAACTCTCAATGTAATGATAGCATTTAGCCTCGATTTACCCTTTAGCATAGAAGCCTGCTAGCCCGGCCTGTGCGTCTACTAGATGTTTTACATTCACTTAAGTTGTTATACGTGCTTCTTATTACTAATTATATAATAGTAAATACTAAATACATATAGTAAATAAACAAAAACAAGTTTTCTTAAGTATCTAATAAATGTCATCTAGCCAAGCTGAATGTGCTTTGTTTGATGCAGATGCAGAACATAGATTTTACCAAAATAAAATACTTTAAAAATACTGAAGGATCAGGTATCGGTATCGGTATTGGAAGGGAAAAAGTGGTATCGGTGCATCTCAAATTTGAGCAGCCACTTACTGAATCTGGCATCATTAGTCCGATTTACAGTTTTTTTCCCACCAGCCCAAATGTAGTTTATCAGCTAAGACGTTTTTTGTCTGAAATTTGCTCCTTTAGGTTTGAACTGGAGCCACAAGAGTAATGTAGCTAACAAGGGTGCTTATTAACATTGTGCTGTGTTCTGCTGTGCCTAAATCCTCACACACTTGCCTTGAACTGCATCAAATTCAATTGTAAATTCAAACATTTATATTTTTATCCATTTTTATAGATAACAGATTATCCTACAGTGTCAGAAACCATCTCTATTTGAGACTACTTATTGATTAGAAACAGTTTGAGGCAGAGCTGCACAAAAAATCATGTTTTTATTGTAATTGTGATGTGAATTTCTGTGATAAACACATTGTTAAGGGCTGTAATGGCAGAATGGATCAAAGGTGCAACACCAGAGTACTTAGATTGGATGGAACTTGCTGTTAGGAGCCCAACAAATGCTCTCCTGTGCTGGGCTTGAATTCTGCTCTGTTGCATGAAGAGCACTAACTTAACCATAATACATAACAGATAAACAACCACGCATACACGGCTCAAAAACTACTCTGCTGTGAACTACTAACCTGTAAAAATGCTTAAAACTCGATGACTATTTTCACTCACGGAGCCTTTTTACACTTTTATTAACATGTGCTTTGTGTCCAGATTGTATCTGGATAAACGTGGCCAGATTCCATTTACACTTTTCGCTTAAATGAGTATCCGGTTGTCCTTTTCCCACATTAAAAGCTTGTTGTTTCTCCTGTACTTTTGTTTACTCTTTTCCCTATTTTAATACAAGTGGACAAGCTTGCCTTGGATGCTTTACTTGAGTGCTTTCGTCGCCTTGGAGTGCGTTCCATTTACACTTGAGTTAAATGCAGTCAAGATCCATTTCTGGCCATCTCTGAATGTGATTTGATTGATCTGACTGTAATCTGATCACAATGCATCCTGGGGGTGTTTACACCTGGCTTTTCATGTGGTCAAGGGAAATCAGAGCGAGATCCGATCTCCAAAACCGCATGTTAATGTGAGGTGTAAACTTGGTATGATGTGTAAAATATGAGCAGTAATGGCTACTGTCACAACAAACGTGCATCACCATATGCAGCTTTTTAAAGAATTCAACATACATCCATTGGATATACATGTGAAAAAGCTGTCTAGAAATCCTGATTATTTTTCTAACAGCCCTACAATGGCCAATAAATGTGCTTGCAGTTCTGATGTTAGTATTAGTATTTCATTATTTTTAGTTTGCGCAATAGTGGATAGTGAGATTAGTTAGATTTCTGTTTGCAAAAAATGTAGTGGCACACGATTTTAATCGTGATTTGTCACCACTCTTGTCGTAATCGTGATATTAAACAGCCCTAGTCTGAGGTGAGTGTGTGATGATGTAGGCATGCAGTTTGCACAGTGCTAACTAGCTTCCATTTCTCATTAGCTACATTAGCCTCAACCTCATTTGGAGAGGAAAGAGGAGAATGAGTCAAACGACTCCTTTAAATGCTTCGTATATCTCGGCATGCCTTCCATCACCTGCTACTGCTATCCTATTCATCTCGTGTACAGTCTACCTTTGTTTTGTTGAGATTGTGTGGCTGCTTTTCCTGATGTTTCATGCCTTTGTTTTTTTTGAAGTCTTGCTTGGGTGAGATGTAGTTAAAGAGAAGCGAATGAGGGAACTAATTATGCGTACATGCTGGAGGCGGCATCAGATGTTTTATGTATGAGGAGCTAATTAAGGTGTGAGGCAGCACCGTGTGTAGTGGTTTAAGGTTGTACAATACTGGGACCACTGTAATTACTCATTTAACTTTGTATATTACTGCTGCTCGATGATGCAATTAGGACTGTTATCTGCTACACCAACTCTGCCTTGCCTCACCCCCTTCCCTTATTCTTGTTTCTCTCTCTCTCTCTTTCTCTCTCTCTCTTTGTCTCTCAGTGATGTGCCGTGTCTATGTGAGTTCAGACTCATATTTGAGCATCAGGGTCAGGACCACAGTGCTGGCCCAGGAACTCCTGCACATCGTGGCTCAGAGGATGGAGAAGCCTGAGGAGGACATGGTGCTGGTGGCTCAAACATACAGTGGAGGTTAGCGCTCAGGATGTAAAGGCTCTGATTCCTTTACAATGGTGGTGATAGGAACCAGGTGTCATGATGCCTATAACACAAATACAGCCATTGTGTTTACTATCCAAAGCCATTAGTGAACCTACATGTGTCTGCTGAGTTTTTATAGGTGATGCTGATAATTATGTGATAATATTGGTTAATCTGAAAAAAATACTTTTTCTATGGGGACTACTATGTACCTCTCTGCCATGAATGGAATTTTAAAATGCATTTTAGAGCCAAAACCTTATCAAAACGACCGTAAAATAAATATCTGAGGCATCAGGCAACATATTCATAACCATTTCGTGTACTAACTATATGTGTGGGAGCTTTTAGAGGCATTAGCCTCTTCAGACGTCTGGTTCCTATCTGTGAACTGTGAACAATTCTGACTGAAAGTTTCTGTAGAGTGGAGCATTTGCCATCAAACTTTTTATTATAAATTTGTTTACATTTCATTGCTTGAATTAGGTAGAACAATTGAGAAATCTGTGTAATTCTCCTTTAATCGACCTATTTAGTTCTCCTAAAGTCAGATTGGTTGAATATGCACTTGTATGCACACACATCTATTCATATTTCCGCATAAAGAACAAAGCTATAACTGTATCTGGTGCTCTGCCATAATCTCAGTGTTTTCTGACATCTCCTTTTCTGTGTTTAGAAAAACGTGCCATTCAACCGCATGACTGCATTTTCTCGGAGTCTCTGACTCCTCCTGGTAGACTCATGGCCTGCTGGAAAGACCTGAGTGAGATTCTGGTATGTTGAGAAAACTGTTTAATGTGCTGTGCAAAATGTGGCCTTTCATAGATCACAGTGAACCTCAGGCTCAGTGACTGTAACAAGCATTAATCTGTGACTCTCTGCTGCCTTTGGGAAGCAGAAGTTAGTATATCAAACTTCAAAGTAAAAATACTGATCCAGAGTCAGTTTTGTCCTCCAACGTCCTTATATGTACAGCTTACTTGTACAAGGACAGTGGATTGATGACACTAGATTTCTTTTGACCCATTTGATGAACAGTCAAATGCAAAAGTTTGGGCATCCCTGGTCAAATCGTGTGTTGTCCCAATTCGAACAAGCTGACTTCAGCTTCATATCACCGAAGATTTAGGGGAAGGCGATAATAAATAATTGTCTCACCCCCCTCTTTGAAGGCATATGATGTCCTAAACTTAGCTAAAGCCCAGCAGTGAGGTTGCTGAACTTTACCCTCCTCTGCTGTCACTGCAGACTGGCAGGGTCGCCTACAGAGCAGCGCTAGTAGCTGTTAATGAAGTAATGTTCTTTTTTATTTGAGGGTCCCATTTTGTAGGGCAGATTTCGACCACTACCCCTTGTAACTCAGGTCCAAGGGCCGAGGTGACACTCGAAAACAAGGGGTAAAATTAAAAATGTCATTTTTTAAAAGTAAAAATTTAGAAGTCATTGGTCTATTAGAAACTGTTTATTTATGAAAATTACATTTTTCAGTATTTAGTGTGTCCACACTAATTTTCAATGAAATCTGCAGGGATGTTTTTCCCCACCTCCAAAGTTCAGCCTTAGAAGTTGGTTGCATTTTCTGCTTCTCATTATCCAAATAATCCCAAACACATTCAGTGATGTTCAGATCTGGACTCTGGAGTGGTCAGTCCATTGTTCTGAGAACACCAGCAGCTTCTTTGTTTGTATTCCTTTACTTTCACTCCAACAAAGCAGGAGGTCACCTGATGAAACATTTGAAGACCAAGACCAACTGATTAAACAAGCGGAGTCAGGTGTGCTTCTGCTTGTTTGGAGTGAAAACTTGCAGCTACACCTGCCCTTTGTGGTTAAGATTGGACACTCTTGTTCTATATGGTCATAATATCATAGTTCATAACATCTTCTCACAGTGGAAGGATGGACAGAAACACCTGTGGATTTTTCCAGATCTGAATGAATAGTGGAGCTTGCTTTAAGTGCTGTTTATCTGATGGGGACAGTTTTGGTGTCTGCCAGGTCTCACACAGTTGTTAGGAGTCCCATTTTCTCTGTGTCATCATCATTTTTTGAAACTCCAGTTCTAGAAACTCCTGTTTTTTCACTGTTTACCTTTAACTTGTCCTTATGTAAGAGGATTTTGTATCTAATCTCCACAGAAATAGTCTAAATAAATGATAATTTAACAAATAAAGGGTGGTTTTTGACATTTGCACAGGACTGTATACGCTGCTCTAACACACTGTTCTTCTTTCCTTCTGTCTCCTGCAGCCTCCTCTAACAGACTGCCCGGAACTGGCTCAGCGGCCCACGCGGCTTCTGGGCATCAACACGTGGGATGTTTCCGTGGCACTCACCAACCTCGACTGGAGTCTTTTCAACTCTGTACACGAGGTAAGGAACTTCCGGTTGACAGACATGTGAAGGTAACACTGATGCTGATGTTTGATATGTAGCCATTTTGGTGGTAAATTATCATGGAACATGTCAAACTGTAAAGAGGAGATCTTGGCTATGATATCTGTTTTAACTCCACTCCGATCTTTCAACTCCTGATGTACACTCAGAATGTCCAGAGATCTCAAAGCAAAATAACCAACACAGTGTTCTCCTGAACTTTTGCTATATTTAATGACCTAAATGACCTAATGACCTTCCACACTCACCTTACACATTTTCACCCTGTCAGAGTGCTAATTTTCTCATTTGCATGATTTTACATTCACCCATCTACATTGCATTAAACAGGCTGTTTTTGTTGCTGTGCCTCTAAGACTGTTGTATGTAAATTATTTCTGATCTGATTGGCTGTCCTGTGTTGTGCCTCATTCAAAAAGCACTCTAGACTGAAACACTCTTTATAACTTTAATGCTAAAAGGTGGGCTAAACCATTGTGGACTGAATAGGCAGATATATGTAAACGTGTTCATTTTTTTGTGACATCACAAAAACAATGGAGGCACTTCCAGCATCACTTCCATATAGGGACTGGTGCATTTTGAAATGCTAGCAATGTTTGCATACTTTGCATACCGTCAACCAATCAGAGATCTGCTTCACCTGAATGCTGATATGCTTCACCTGTGTTAAGGAGTATATCGTTGCTGTTGGCACAAAACCTTGTTTATCCATTTTTGCAGTTTTTCAGTTTTTGACAATTTGAAAATGCCTGTTTGTATATATAATTGTATAAAAATTTCTTGATGAATGGACCAAACGAATCGGCCGAAAAATAATTGGAAAAAAAGTCTGGTTCCATTGACTTACATTAAAAGTAAAGTAGGTTTTTTCCTTCTCCTGTAAAGTTACCATTTTGGAGATACGAGGTTTTGTTCCGATAGCAACGATATAAGCCCAGGCTTAGATTAGATTAGATCATTGTGAGCTATGGCTTCTTTGAGTGTTATTTCGTTTCTCCTGTGTGTTCTGACTTTGCCTTTTGCCTTCTCCCATCTCCCTTTTGGATTTGTCTGCTTGGATTTAGTATTTCTTATGTTTGTCTGTTTTGTCACTGCTCTCTTCTGGTTCTGACCCATGCCTGTTTCTCAACTACATCCGTGGATTATCTTTACAACAGTAAAGCCTCTTTTAAACATTTTGACCGTGAGCGTCTGACTCTGAGTCTGCCTCGTTACAATTCCCAATATCTAAACTTGACCATCTGCTGCCACTGCATGTTGCTAATCATAAAAATCGACAAACGAGTGTTGAATAGCTAAAACAGTAGGGGCAGCCCTGCTGAAGCCTGAAGAGAACGGTATGTCATGAGTTGATATCATTTAACAATGCTACTTTCTCGTGTCTCCCTCTACAGCAAGAGCTGATCTACTACACATTCAGCCGCCAGGCGAGTAGTGGCCACACGGTGGCGCTGGAGCAGCTGCTGCAGCGGTGTAATGAGGTCCAGCAGTGGGTCATGTCAGAGGTACTGCTCTGTCCATCGCTTGGAAAGCGTGTCCAGCTGCTCAAGAAGTTCATCAAGATCGCTGCTCAGTAAGAGCCTCAGCTTCTCTGAATATAAAACATTCAACTATGTCTAATTAACCCCTCAATATAGACTCAGTATAAGAATTTAAAGCTCGCACTGTAAAGGTAGTTACTGGAAAGCTAGTAATGAAATCTAGGAATAAGCTGGTAGTGGCTTCATTTACTGTGAACTGCAGGAATAAGAAGATTGTGTGCAGCTGTACATCTGGGCATCTTGATGCCTGGATAAATTGGTAGAGGTTAAAACATGTGTTTGTGCTCTCCACAGCTGTAAAGCACAGAGGAACCTCAACTCCTCCTTCGCCATCATAATGGGCCTGAACACAGCAGCAGTGAGCCGGCTAAATCAGACCTGGGAGGTAAGAGACACATTTTGTGTTTTCAGCATACATATTTCAGACCTCAACATCATCGGCTGTGTTTACATGCAAAGATTTTCACCAATTTGATTAAATTCATTCCAATTATAGATTAAGACTGAGGTGTTTATATGCTCACTCTGCTCAACAGTCTGATGAAAATCTCCATTTGCATGCACACAGCAAGTAATCCGATCCAAAATCACGTGCATGTGTAGAGAACCACTTAGTGTAGACGTTACCATGACAACAAGCATCACGTGAGTGCAGTCAGAGTGAGATGAGCAGCAGTGAGCAGCGCTTATGTTTTTAATTGCTTTAAATGATGTCAGACTCAGGAAAACGTCCTTCACATATACTTATTAAACAACAGGAGAGAGGAAGACATCGTGTTCTGCAACATTCTAAGGCCATCCATTCATCCTGATAACAATTTTTAAGTCTTTTAAAGTTTGAAGCATAAACTTCATCTCCTTTGCAGACCAGTTTCTGCTCCTGCCTTGTTGAATGTTATAATCTTCCATGCACATGCACAGAACGTACTTAAACTTTCCAACTGGAAATGTAATCAGATACTGGCATTCACACAGCTATTATTCTTCTATTTAATGAATTATTGACAGGATTACCCACCTCATTCAATGGGATATAAATTGTATTCCAAATGGCCTTAATCTGACTAGTCTATTCTGACTGTATATAGACGTTTTCTATACCTATTCAGCTGTTTGTCGGATTATTAACAGACTATCATGTTGTATATAATAATATATAAACAATATCAGTCATTTTACTGTAGCATTTCAAAGTAGATAGTAGCCTGAAGCATTGGTCAGTCTAATTAGAGTCTCATATCTTTTTGGTCAGTCAAAAAGTCAACATTAAACACATTATAAATAGTAATTTGAAAAATTAGGCCAAAAAAACTAAAATATATCATTTCGATATTAGGTGACCCTTATTAGTGGCACAATGGGGAAACTTCACCCATCTGTGCAGTGAAACACCACATACACACTAGTGAATGCACACACACTAGGGGGCAGTGAGCACACTTGCCCAGAGCAGTGGGCAGCCCTATCCGCAGCACCCGGAAAGCAGTTGGGGGTTAGGTGCCTTGCTCAAGGCCATGGTCACAGGGCCGGTACCCTAACCTCCAGATGTATTGTTAAAATATGTATTGATGTATTGAAGTTTTACTAAGTGTATGAAAATACAAATGCTGAATTAGATCTTTTTGGAGATGCTTAACATTAAACAGCTTGGGATCAGGGGCCAAAAACTGTGATCAAGACATCCCTAGCTGTCACACCTTTACATGGACAGTCATGCTACAGCTCACTTTAACATTTGGCTTGTTGTGTGTTCTTCCAGAAAGTTCCTGGGAAATTCAAGAAGCTTTTCTCTGAACTCGAGTTATTGACTGTAAGTCACTCCCACAGCACTAAGCATGAGCTTGGGTTATATTATGCCAGGTGGAACTTGTGTTTTTCCTGCTCTGTTGAAGTTGATGTGTTGACAGTTGACACTTGGTGCTCCTCTGCAGGACCCCTCCCTGAACCACAAGGCCTACAGAGACGCCTTCAGGAAGATGAAGCCGCCCAAAATTCCATTCATGCCTCTGCTACTCAAAGGTGAGCCTTCTACAGCTGTCTCTGTGTTTATGAAGACGCAGCTGCAGACCACTGGGGACAAGATTGGTGTTTACAAGCTAAAAGATTGTAGTCTTTCATAACCTTCACAACAAAAAATTAGTAACACTTTACTTGATCCCTGCTACGTAACACTGACATAACCATGCCATAAACATGCCATAATATTTTATGCCATAATCACATATACCACATGCTAATTTTTGCTACTAGTTAACAGTCATGACATCAAACATCAGACAATTAGCAGTAATGGTAACATGACACTGTTAATTACTATCATGACAACTCATCACAGCATACATCATCTACCCTGACATGTTTATGGCCAGGTTATGTCAATGTTATGTAGCAGGGTTCAAGTAGAGTAATATATGTTTATTTTTTATTATTTTAAATTGTTATTTTTTTTATTTGCAGACATCACTTTCATTCATGAGGGGAACAAAACATTTCATGATAACCTCGTCAACTTTGAGAAGCTGGTAAGTGAGTCTACAGTAACTGTTCAGTAAGCGTTTCACAGGGGCATGGGAAATGTAGCTTTGTAGTGAAAATGATTTTCGGTGGGAATCTGTGTCTGGAAAAAAAGCCCTAAAATTGGTATTCCACCCCATCTCCATCTTCCATTTGTCAAAAATTCAACCAAAGTCAGTGTTTTAATGTGAAATGGTTCATTGTAGAGAAACTTACTGGCTCTGAACCAGGAGTTGCGATGTCTACAACACAAATATAGGCATTTTATTTGCTATACAAAATGACCAGTGAACCTAGACATATCTTATGAGTTTTTTAAATGTAATGTTGTGGTAAAATAGTAGTACATCTGAAAAAATAAGAAAAAGGGCCCACCATGCATGTGCACCTCCACCAAGAATAGACTTTAAAAATTGTTTTAAGCCAAAGGCTTATGTTAAAACTGTCGTAAAACAATATCTCCAGCATAGGGCAGCATATCTGTAACCATTTCATGTAATGACTTTCTTTAAAGGAGCTCTAGAAAAAGGTGGGTGACATGGCAAAATCCAATTAAACAGAACTAATTATGCTATACTTGTAATGAGACATGCAGTTGTTCAGTGTTTTAAAAGTACTGATCATATATATATATATATATATATATATATATATATATATTTATATGAATATTGTCAGCCCTGCCTCACTATAAGGCATTCAACTTTTCAGACATCTGGTTCTTATCATAACTGCTGTGAAAAATTTTCAGAGTTTATCTAGAACTGAGCATTTCACATCATACCACTCTGAATCACTTGGTTTCCATCTTAACCAATTAATTGTGCAGAAACTTAGAAAAAATGGTGGAATTCCTTGTTAATGGCCATGCAGAGAGTATGTTTTTTTTAAACCAAGTATAGTTATTTTTTGAAGTATCAACCTCATCAACATGGAGGCCCAAGTATCATTAATTTAATGATTAATGTTTTGAATGTATATTAAGCCCATCATTAGGCTACCAAAATTGGATTGCTTTTGTAATCTACAACATAGCGCCATTTCTTTCTGGTGAGACCAAATTTCTGTTAGGTACTGTTAGAGAAGGCTGCTCACGAAAGCACAGGGTTTGATGCCCCATTCAGACAGTTACTGACACTACTATAATATACCAGTAAGGCAGGGCCCCTTACATTGCATTCAACTGCCAGATTGAAATCACCTTGGATAAAAGCATGTTAAATATGAAAACTGACAGTAAAGATACAGCCTCATATCTTTAAACATTGTATCACTAGAAATGTACTGTGGCATAAGAATTGTGATTATATCATATCAGAGGGGCTGTAGTGTTTACCACCTCTAATATGGAGTAATGTTACAAGTGTTGGATGCTTTTCTCATTTTGTTTTTCTCTTCCTCAGCATATGATTGCAGACACTGTCCGACTCATACGCCACTGTCAGACTGACCAAGCAGGTGGGTCTTCTTTTGGAAAAAAAAGGGGTCACATGATCTGTGTTCTAGGCTGACTCAATAGTTTTATTAGTTTTTAATGTTTAACAATCTATTTTATCTGCATAAATGTTTATGTTTATTCTTCATTTATTAATCAACAACCACTCATCATTTTGTACCCAAAGCATATCTGTTTATTGACCCATGACCTAATGTAGTGCTATTTCTGTTGCCCCAGGAAACGAGGTCACTCAGAGCGACGGTCCAGATGTGAGAGCCAGCGTGCACTACCTTCACATTATTGACAATCAGCAGACTCTGTTTGAGCTGTCCCACAGACTGGAGCCCAGAGCATAACAGCCCCACCTGCCGGATGTTCGTCGGAACTGCAGCGGCAGCGCTACGTGAACTTGTGCTTTGTGTACCTTTCTTCACAACAAAAGAAAAGAAATGTGTGATTCTTTTCAAAAGAATCCCATCACCCAGCACCGACTGAACGAACACTGCTTGTTTCAGGTGTGATTTTGGTGACGTGCACTTATTTGACCACCAGAGGGAGCCCCTTTCTTGGCCAAAACACGGGACTGAGTGGACCTCAGTCTGACGACCTGTCTGGATCCCCAGGTTGTGTTCCTATGACGTTTGTAATGGTTTTATTACCTGCCGTCTCTACCTAGTCAATATCTCGTTGTTGTTGTAACAAAATCTCGTATCTCCGAAATAACTTCATAGGAGTGTTATGAACTTTAATGTATGTTAATGTAATAAATTTTTATTTTGAGTAATTTTGGACCCTTTTTGGTCCATTTGTCATGTCATAACGTAAGAGGCAGCTGGTATTTTCAAGCGGAGTTAAAGTAACTGAAAAAATGGAGTTACGAGGTTTTGACATGGCAGTGACGATTTACTTCTTCTTAGTCAAATGGTGGACGTATTTGCCCGCGCACAGGACGCGTGAGGTGTTTTGTTGAAATACTGTTTTTCAATGGTATTGACCACTTCTTTTATCCTGTGGCTCTGCTACGGAGCACAATACTGTAGTTCATGTATGTGTTGAGTACATAACACTTTAGTAGTGGTAATATTGGAACACAACCGCGTCACGGGCGCCTTCACAGGAGCTTTTCAGGGATATGCCTGCTGTTAGGTTGGCCATTCAGAATGGCTGAATGATAAAGAGAATAGCACGTGTTGCGTGGGGTGACATAGTTGATGTCACGAATACATGCTTCACACAGACGGCAACACTTTACTGAAGGGCAGCGTTCAATAAAGGCTACATGACACCTGCATAAGCCTTTCGACTGACGTAAACCTACACACACATCCATAAAAGCTCATTCCAACAGGCCTCAGCTTTCACAGAGGCTGTTGTTGTCGATCATGATGTCATTTCACCTTCAGCAAGTGTGACGCTTGTTGGAATAAGCCTAGATGTCGTGTAGCCTTATGAACACTGCCAGTAAAGTATTACCACACAAACTTATGTAATTACAAATATATTGTTGGCTTTTGTGATTTCTGTTGACTATTATAAGGTAAAGCCGTAAATGGACTTGCCCGTGCTTGGGGGCGGGGCTTTGTCCCTGCTTCCGTAACATAGCAGTATTATTCCATGGTTTTACTTTTGGTTTTTGTTTCATTTTGTCTCTCTCTGTGCAATGCTTATTAAGACTCCTTATACATTCGTTACTGGAGTGCAGTGTTTTATTTTTTCCCCTCATGAGCCATCAGATTTTCTCTGTCCGATGCCATAGAAAGGTGCCGTTGGACCTCATCCGCTTTCAGTTAAAATCTAGAAAAGAGTTGCATGCACATAGTATTTGCACTTATCATCTCTGTTTATACAATAATGTGTAAGAATGTACATAGGTTTATATATGTAAGTTTATTGTGAGGCATCTGCATATACATATGTTTCTGTGCCAAATGCTTTTATTATTATTATTATTATTATTATTATTATTATTGTTACTATTATGGGAGGGTGATGCAATATTGAGTATAGTTAACAGTGTGCAACTTTGTTTTGGCCTTACCTGCAGCTTTCAGAGACCCATTTTGTGAAGAAATGGTATCGTGCACATGTTAATCCCTGGGAATATTTCTGTTATGGGTCTCCTTATGGGAGGGGTCACTTACTAACTTTTTTGGTAACACTTCAGTTTAGAGGGATATATAATGCACCTGTAATGTACTTAAACGAGCCAATAGTTTTAATAAGCCTGCTTATTACTATGTTATTAAACAGTAACTAGGGTGGAATAACATTTTACAGAGCTCTTTCATTTTTGTTTTACATAGAGTTGAAATAATTGAGAGTGAACACCACAAAAAGGGTCTTGGTCTTGGGATCAAGAGGGATCATACCCTTTTATTTTATTTCCACTTTTGTTTTTCCTTTTTTTCCCCATGAATATGAATATATTAAGTGAAGCACATCAGCAGTAACCTATACACTGTATAATACACAAATAAAAATGAGCTATTCACTCAGATACTGGCTTCCTAAGCCTTAAAATATGAGTTAATAACAAGTGCACTGGAAAAGTGTTCAATTCACACTAGTAGCTCCTTAATAATACAGTAATAAGCAATAATTAGCACCTATTGGCTTGATAGGTTCGTTACTAGCTATTGACTGGATAAGGTTTAATAAGGGCATAATAATTGGCACCTAAAATGCACAAAAGTTTATGATGTAAAATGCTCAGGAAAATGCTTATTACAAGCTAGTTACTGCTTAATAAAGTAGCATTCAAGAGCTTGTTAGTTCAAGTGATGGCTTTTTTATGCTTAATAAAAGCATTATAGGTGCTTTGAAAAGTTTAAGGCACACTATATACTGTTTAATATCATATTAATAAGCGGTCTGTTAACACCACCTACTGGCCTGTTAATGCTTAATAAAATTCATCCTAGATACGTAGTAATAAAAGGCCTGTTAATTACAGACTAATGACTTTAAAGGGCATTATAAGGGCATTATAATGTCCCTCTATACTGAAATGGTACCTATATTTTTCGTATCTTTTTTTCAGTGCTCTCTAAAAGGGAATATTCGGAATAGCTCAGTAAAGTGGAATTCCCAACACTTCACTTTTTCTAGAGGTGGTTGATAAAAAGCCATGACCTGTCACAGTGTTTCGCCAAACAAAAATAAATAAATAAATAATGGTTCTCCCGGTCTCTGCCAGCCTGGGCAAATTAATCACTGTACATTTTGTACTGACCTTTTTATGGCATTCGAGGACTGAGGCGCTTTGCTATTATTTATGTCTTTTTAACTATTTATGTTTGACGTGAAGGATGATAACGGGGCTGGAATGTGTCCAAGTGACAGCCGAGTGGATGTGAAACACACAAGTCATTGACTACTTTAAGAGAAAGTGTAATATTTTGTAATGTTTTGCAGTGACCTGGTCAAAAAAAAGTCCTGGCAACGTTGTGACTTGTCTTGTGGTTCAGGAGTGAAACAAAAAAAGAGAGAGAGATTTTTTTTGAAAGAGGGAGGGTTATTATTTTTTGTTGCTGCTCAGATCTGCTCTTTTTCACACCATGTTCAGCTGGTTTGCATGTGGTAAAGAAACCCACCAATGAGAATGAACACGCTCGTCGTATCCTGCAAATGTAAATATAAATAGATATGCTCTCTATTATTTATGTTCCAAAATGAGAAATGCAAAGCAATATGTTTACCTTCTGTGCAGTTTTTTTTTTCCCTTTGTTGCTATAGAAACCACACACAACTTTTCTATAATATGCATTTTTACAGCAAATGAGTGAATAAAACGTTTATGTAATATTATTCACTGGCTTCTGTCTTGTGGTGTGTAGGCCTACATTGCTGTGTCTTTGCTGTGGATGTTTAACAATTTTTCAGCATCTCAAAGTGACCTACGCAGTGGTCTGCTGTCGGCTGCCCATGTGACATAAAGATAAGTGGAGTAATACTGACACCTGGTGGTTATCTGAGGTACAAACAGAGGCCTTTGCATTAAAGGGCACTCTGGCCAAAATAACAAAGGTAACCGTCTCTGTATCTGTTGTAAACATACACAACTCTTACAGCAATGACTCCTACAGTGAAACTCTCTGGTTTACAGACTAAGAAGCCGAATATCACATTTATTAGCCTCTACATGAGCGGTACACCAGTGGATTTCTTTGTCAGTGCAAAGGGATTCTCAATGGTTCCATGACTTATTTTCATAAGGCAAAAGTCAAGACTGGCCACTGGGAAAACAAAGTAAGGACTATTCCTATTGGACACAAACTGTTTCATCGATAAGGGGTCTTATGTGACAATAATAACAATAATAATAATAATAATAATAAGAAGAAGAAGAAGAAGAAGAAGAAGAAGAAGAAAAATGAATATTTTTATAAAACGATTATACTAATAATGAATACAAACTTTATGTGTCTATATATATATTATATCTATATACACACATATATATATACATGCAACTTCAAAACTTAACAAAACTGTAAAATGAAAAGTGTATGGCAAAAATAGCATGTTTGCTTAATAAATAAAAATAAAAAAATTAAGGTAAAGCAAATATTAAAACAAAAAAAAATAAAATTAAAATGAATAAAATGTAGAATAGAAATATATGACAAAAAATAATTGGTAAAAAGTTCAAAATCTTTGATGCATAACAAAAAAGCCTACTTGACCAGTCTGTTTGCGCTTCATCTTTGACCTTAGTGTCCAATTTGGAACATTGTCTGTCAGATATTCCTTAATATATAAAGGTTCTAACCCATAAAGAGCTTTAAAGAGTAGTAGAAAATTATTAAGTCAATTCTAGGCAGATGATGCTATAATGTTAGTGCAGTGATGCTTTAAAAGGGTTAATATGTAGGGATAATATGTAATATGTAATATGTAATATGTAATTTTTGTGTGTGTAGCTACAGCATTCAAGACTAGCTGCAGCCTGTTTATAGCAGCTTTACGTCTGTGAACAATTCATTATAGTAGTCATGTGAAAAAAATGCACAGTACTGTGAAAGTCAGAGACCATACTTCATTTATTTGATTTCCAGTCAAAACAGCCATTAAGTACTTTTTTAAGTACTTTAAGTTATTAATTTTCAGCTTGAGGAAAAAAGCAGAAAACATATTTAATGGATAATTACACATGTTTAGCAATATTTAGATTTGTTTTCAGTATTTATTGTGTCCACTCTTTAGCTTTATTACAGATTCCATTCTTTTCAGAAAACTTTCAGTTTTTCAAAACAACCTGCAGGGATATTTTTCCACACCTCTAAAGTTCAGTCATGGAAGTTGGTCGCATTTTCTGATCTAATATAATCCCAGACAGATTCAGTGATGTTGAGGTCTGGACCCTGGGGTGGTCGCACCTGTGGATTTTTTTTAGATCTGAAGCAGCTTGATTTTCTCCTCTCTCTCAAAGATGAAAGCTTAAGTGTTGGTTATCTGATGAGGACAGCTATGGTGGTCTACCAGGTCTTTCAGGGTTAAGAGTCTCATTTTTCCAGTGAATTATTATAACTTGTACTTATTGCTGTTTTACCAGGGAATTGAATAAATGAAATTTTTAATGTCTCCAATTCCATCAATGCTGGATTTCATTTCTCCAGATTTTGCTCTGGAGTAAAGGCAACTCTGAGGCCTCCAGGTCTGACAGTCTTACACACATCTGAGCATGTGCAAGTTTTCTGTGTTTATTAATACAGTATTTCATATACACTAGCTCATAATAATTAGCTAGTATGTTGAATTATGATTTTTAATAGCTGCCAGTTTATTACAAAGGCGAGGAAATGAAGTGTGAGCTTCAGTCTCTCACCTGTTCTTATAAACAACAGATTCTGCTTGAAAAAGCAGGTCAAGCGGGTCATCTTCACCTGCGCCAACTGTGTTCTCACTTGTCTGAAACATCATACAGGTGCGAAAACACCCTCAGCCTTCCACTCACTCTCACAATATCAGCAGCACAGGGTTGTTAATGAATTAGTCTACTAACGAGGTTTGTTTCAATTAGCCCACAGTTAATTAATTCCCAGTTTCTCTGTTGAGTGCGAGGTCAGCACTTCGTCCGACCTCTGGTGGAATCCCACCCAGTCGGCTTCATTTGAAGAAGCCTTATTCTCGGAACACTATTTGATGGTTGGTGCGTTTTGTCATGAGTGGGCAGAGTCAAACGTAGCTTTCAAGAAAATCCAATGGCTTAATGTGAGAAGGTATGTAAGCAAGGAGTTCTTTTGGTGAGACCACAAGGACGTGCGCAACAGACAGATCAATCAATTATCAAGAGGGTTATCAAATATGGAGGTCAATGCAACGGCAGATACGGCTGCCAAGGAAGCATGGAGCCTGCAGTCGTCAACGCCGCTGGTCTGCTATGTCATCCTAGTGCTGGTGGGCATTCTGGGCAATGGGGCGGTCATCTGCGTGGTGGGGGAGAACATTCTGCACGAGCAGAAAGGGGGCCGCAGCTCAGACATGATTCTGGTCAACATGGCCTTCTCCAACCTGATGGTGTCTGTGGCGAGGAACTTATTGCTGATCTTGAGCGACCTGGGGATCGAGGTACGGAGAGATAGGAGCAAGGAGAAATGATGGGTCGAGGAACGAAGGAGATAATGCAGATACTTTGGGTGACACTTTATTTTGAGTGGTTGTTTTTAGATGAAACAAACACTCAACAGACTCTCAGTAACATGTCAAAAACATGAGGGTTAGGATTAGGTTTTGGGTTGAGGTTAAGGTTAGGGTTAGGATTAGGGCCAGGGTGAGGGTTAGGTGTTGGGTAAGGTTAGGTTTTGTGTAATGGAAGTAAAATATTAACAACACATCTACTTAATGTAAGTAATGTCAACAGAACATCTACAAGATATTTACTTCAGTGTATTCAGACGCTGCACTACTGCTACTTTACTAATATGTTGTTAATGTGTTACTGATAATCTGTTAGGAGTTTATTCATCATCTACAAAGGACCGCTCAACATTTAGTGTTACCGTTTGGTGAACTGGGTGCCAAAGTTTGGTGACATGCTATTGTTTTTCCTAAACACCCATGTTTTGGTGGGTTTTTTGAGGAACTATCAGGTGAAAGTGGTTCTTGTGTGGCATTGTTCCATAGAACCATATTAATAATTGACATTGGTGATATTTAAACCAACAAATTTGGTTGTTAACTACAACAGCAATTTCAGACTTTTGAATGTTGATTTGAAACCATTGAACACTGTATCTTCTTATGAAATGAAAAGCTTTGATTATGTACATATGAGTAAAATCTTGTTTAAGTACTTTGATAAACGTACTTTCAGGACTATTGTGTTCTCAATGTGATCAAGATCGCATTAGACCTATTAAGTGTCTGTTACAGTGGATCTATTAGGGCAGAACATTCAGCACCCATCAAAATTGTGGACATGCCTACTTAAATAGAAGACATACAGAATTGCTTATAAGGTCTTCTACATTTTTAAAGAGATGGTTCTTCAAGTGTTCTTTAATAAACACAATGGTTCTATATAGAACCATGGACACTCAAAGAACCACGTGGATGCTTAAGTGGTTCTTTGCATGGTGAAAAGTTTCTTCAGATTGATGGATAATATGTTGTTCTAGATAGAAGCTTTTTGAAAATGGTTAGCCCTAAATATAGCACCAAAAAAGGTTCTTCTGCTGTTTTAAGCTTGACATCATAGCAACAGCAGAACCCTTTTTGGTGCTGTATAGAACCACTTCACCATGCAAAGAATCATTTCAGTGTCCAAATGGTTCTTTGAGCGTTCATGGTTCTATATAGAACCATTGTCTTTACTTAATATTAGTTTTGAACTCCAGTTTTGGAAATTCTTGTATTTTCTCCTTCCTTATGTAAATGGATTATCTTATAATGTAATCTCCTCAGAAAGATCTCCTAAAAATGAATAACTTGTACTTAATGGTCATTTTTACTAGAAACTGAATAATTAAGGGGTCTCTGACTTTTGCACAATGATGTATATTGCAGTGTAGCAAAGTACAAAGTAGTATTTTATTACTTAGTCGTCTCTAATTTGGTCTTGTCCTCATGCTGGTATACGCTGTGTGTCTGTCATTCCTCACTCCTCATAGATGTCACCCTCTACGAAGTGGTGTCAGATGCTGATGGGCATATGGGTGTGGCTGCGCTGTGCCAATGTTTGGTCAACGTTCTTTGTCAGCGCGTTCCATTTTCAGACCTTGAGGCGGGTGGCCCCTCCCATTGCTAGTCTAAATGGCCCCAGAAGGCCCCCTAGATCTTTGCTGATGGGCTTTGTTCTACTCTGGACCCTCAATCTCATCTATTCAATTCCTGCTTTTGTGTATTCTACTAAAGGAGGCAAGAATGCTACTGAGGTAAGGATGAAAAGTGAGCATAGCATCGATAGTCGATAGTATTGACAAAGAACTAAACCTTAAAGGGCCCATATCATGGAAAATCAAATTTTCCTTGCTTCCTTTTTTTTAAGAATTTGGTGTACTAAAAGAAAATGCATACAGTCCACTCCCTAATCCATACACTTGAAATGAAGTTGCAAAAATTTCATTCAACCGACAGCAGTTTAGCTGCCCATTCCTGTTGAAGTGATACAGAATGTTGTTCCTGCAGAGAGTCTGTAACAGATTTGCTGGTGTGGAAAATGTGGAAAAATGATTAAATGTTGTGCTGTTCATGGCTGTCAGGAAGTAAATGGATAGTTGCTGCTTCTCAAAGGACCCATGTATTTCAAAAGGAGATGTCTATTCTGTTCTGTTCTGTTCTGTTCTGTTCACACTTCACCCTGCACT